AAATTAAAGAACTAAAAGATTTTTGATTAACTCTCAAAAATTATGCACCTTCTAATATTACGTTAAAATGATAGGTAAAGTACCTTAAGGTTATACATTGCAAGGTGTAATTTATTCCATGTTTCTATGTAAGAAGCAATCAAAGGCCGCACCATTCACCATAATTCATCTACCGGGCACCACGTTCACACAACTCAAGTAATTTGATATATACGATGAAATATCTGCTTTCCTTTCGTGGAGTTAGCAGAATACCTTTAGGATTTACGACTTATAGCTTATGGGTTAACATAAAACTTTGTACATAATTGATTTATTGTTTAAAATATTTTATGGTACTGATGACAATACAAAAATAAAATCCTATAAATAAAAATGAATGTCTAAATGTGTTGCTAAGCACAAAACTCGAAAACGATCTCTAAACTGAACCGATTCGACATTTTTCTTTTTCAAATATTTGTTGAAAGTCTGGGGAAGATTCTTCTGAAGAGAAAAATTGAAAAAAAATTATCGAATTATGGCATTTTTCTTTTTCCTTATTGTAGTAATTTATAATTTTGAGCGCAACCATAAATTAATATAAACTCTACGAATAAATCAGTTATTATTTATTCGTAGTATAAATTACTTGAATGCATTTGCAGATTTGACACTATTCTAATACTATGTAAAGTTTGACTTTGACTTTGTTTGTTTGTCCTTCTGTAACGTCGAACAGAGTGAATTATAGAAAAATTGAGGAAAACATATTATATGAATAGAATTTACTATTTATATATATAAAAAGAACCATATACATATTTTCAAATTTTACAAGCTTTTATTTAACTTGCAATGTTTGTTTATTCAGGTCAAATCTTGCAACTAAATTTTAAAACGATTTATCCTCAACCGATTGAACTGAAATTTTGCATACACGTTTAGTTTGGATGACAGTGCATGGTTAGGTAAGTGACGTCATTCTAAATCCAATATGGCGGACTTCCAAAGATGGTGGACTACATTTTTTAATGCACCCCCCTGAAGTGCATATCAAATGAAAGAGTTTGCTGAGAAGAATACGAATAAAATAAAACTAAAAATGGAAATAAATTAATAGTTAAAAAACATTTTTTTAAAAAAGCTTTTATTTATTGCTAGCGCTACAGCTCGCAATAGCACTAAACATACTAAACAATTTTTAACTTCAATAAAAACGAATTTCATGTAGAGCTTTTTTTATCTATATCATACGAGTATATGTAAATAGTACATCCCCACCAGCCTATTTACCTTAACCTTCAAAATTCAAACCAAATAGGTACTACGAGTATGTTTTTACTTTTATTGTGACATTAACCTATCGTGTTTAGGTACCTACATAATTCTATTTCTTTCAAACTGTTATTAAAGCAATTCCCATCCATTTTATTAGGTATTAAGTTATGATGAATTATGCTTGTAAAGCTTTCAGTTAGTACTTATTTACGGTTACAACTCTAAAACGATAACAATTTAATTAGTAGTGTTTAAGTAAGAATTTTGTGATAAAAAAGTACCAAAAAAAATTCAAACGTTTAAAAATAGTTTTGACGTAATTTTATTTGAGATGTTAGAAGTATTTCATGTGAAATTTTTACATATAAATAAGATGAAAATTCAACACAACATACATTTATGGTGTAGGTAATTGCACGCGATCAATATTATTTCTATTAAGCTCTAAAAGTACCACATATCATGACATTATTACATGTACCGTTCACAACGCAATAAATTTAAACAACATTATACCTTCGGTCGGTACAGTAGTAGTTTTCTAGATATAAATATTTGTTATTACATATTATATAATATTATAATATAAAGTCATATATAAAGCGAAATGAACTCATAACATTCTCTGCATAATTTGAGAAAATTACATTTTTAAAAGACTAAAAAGTGTTCAAAATGCAAGATACAGAATAAAGGATACAGGATACAGTGTTCAAAAAAGGATACGTGATACGTTCCCGCACAGACAAAAATTCTAAAAGCTATAGACTCGGCCTCTGTATCGATAATAATGTCTATTTCAATAAGATTTTCCTAAAATATTTAATGTACAGTTTCGACTCAGAATTTTATTATATGCATAGATTTAACATAACGTTGAAATTTTTCTATTCAACGTATACTTATACTATATGTTTAAAGCAGTTGAAAGCTTTTATGTTACCAGGTGTGTTGAGAACATAATGTTGACACAGCAATTAGATAATACGGTCTAGTTCAAGCAAACCTGTAATATAATAGGTCAGCGCTTTTCTATCCGCGTCGCGTGTTCAGGATGTGTGTCGGCCTCATTATACTGGCAAGTAATCACAAATCGATAGTTAACAGCATAGTGCATCCTTTTACTTCTGCATACTTGTGGTTGAAATGGTCTAACTTGCAAACCTATAACCGCACCTGTCCATTGCACCCGACAGCTGTTAGTACTAACAAGAGGTTAGATCTACACTTATGTAAGTATACATATTATAATAATCTGAAGAGTTTTATGTCTTATTTGTTCGAACGCGCTCATCTCTGGTAGGTACTACTATTCCGGTACTGACATTTTTTTTAATTTTAAATATTCTACAAAAATAAAGCAAGGCTATCTAATATGCATGATTCATACACTCTTTTTGGAAACCCATAATTCAAAATAAAATCTGTAAATTATTATAGTTTCATTTATTCGGTTGAACAGTGCCTAAATAAAACTTTGTCTAAGTAGGTATAGATTTCTTTCATTGAAATTTAAGAGTTTTTATTTATTTATGGTATTCACATGGATAGACTAGACAAATAAAATATTAGAAGTAAAGTAAACTCAGTAATTTACTAACAAACAATTATTTTTGATATAGAAATCTGATGTTTTAGACGAGTCTCATTTATAGTATTCAAGGGTACTTTTACAATTACATATTTCAAGGGTAATTAAGTCGCAATTGTTAATACTGTAGAAATATTTATTTGTATAAATGTTTATCTTTCTATTTGAATTGCAAATATATTGTAATAATGTGTGGCTGATAGGCGTATTTTTTTTTTTTCGTTGGGAAATGCATTTACGCACGACGTGTGGGACTCACCGGCGTAATACAATCAGTACTACCCACTAAAACCCAACAAAACCTTCCCCCGTCTTAATGGGGCGTCGCAGGATCGCTTACGCATTCAACTACGACGCCCCGACGGCAGGTCTGCCAAAGCAGACCACCACAACCAAGGGGTTGCTCCAAGGTCCACTCTGCTATCAGAGAAGTACCAGGAGCAACCCGCAAGGTACACCGCCCCCCGAAGTGGGCCACCTCCCACCGCCCACCGAAGTGGGCAACCTCCCTGTGCGTTTCTTAGCTTCGCTACTACTACTGGCCCCCCCCCCCACCACGACAAGGTGAACAAATAGGCGTATGCCTTATCCGTTCTTCAAGTAGTAAAGTATCTGCTTAATTTAAAATATTATTTGCTCAGTTTGCTTTAATGTATTTGTGTAATGTCTACCAACTTCTTATAAAACTAGTTAAATTTAAACTGGACGAAGGAAAATAGTTTTCAGCCTTAATTAAGTGATAATAAAATACATAGGTAATAATATATACACATTTCCCTGTAGGAATCCATTTGAAGCAGACTCGTCATACTTATGCGACTAAGCCCTTTCATAAATAAAAAGTTTATTTATATTGGTTATGTCTATGACTCTGTAACAGTCGGTTACTTGCCATCTAAAACAATTTACCCAATAATTCACGATAAATAGTGTAGAAAAATGTTATATAAAGCACTTACTACCTATCTATTTTAAGTATAAGCGTATGTAATCTCATAGTTATGGTAAATGTTATTGTTATACAATTACAATGGCGTGGGTGCGTGAACGTAGAGATTGATCACCCACGAGTCCACGGCGTCGGCGCCTCCAGGCTTTCACTCGCGAAGAAACGTATTGTATAATGCGAACATCTGTTTTACTTTTTTGTGTGTATTACTTCTTTAATAGCGTATTCTTTAAGTAGCTTAAAAAATAACAATACAAAACTGTGCAACAATATATTTAATACTCTAAATCATCTTTATCTAAAGCAAGGTGCGAAGTGAACAAGTCGTAGGATAAATGAATATTTTTTTATTACTGGACACAATTGGTATATATAAATAAGTAAACAATAGAAAGCTCAGCAAAGTTATTCAAAGTTTATAAAAATCAAAACAGATAGACAACAAATTATCCAAATGAATTGTTCATTCGGCGTAATTAAATATTCAGTTTAATTCACTTAATAGAACACTCGTAAAGTACATACGATTTATATATCTAAATTATACGGATATTTTAAACAAAATTGTCACAATATCGATAGGCTTAAAGTTCAAGGAGCACAGACAAATTGTCCAGATAAAGACGTCATTGCAAAGTAGTTATTGCACCATAGCGAAATAGGACGTCCATTTTGTGAAAATTTTGCAAGTGCTAATTTCATGGTTACGCAACTCTTCAGTATCATTAAAATATGCACTTAAATGTATTTACCTTATAATTCAGCCCATCGTTGGTATCGTTCAAGTTCTGGGATATTATAAATAAACTTACCATATCGCACTGCGCGTCACCGTCGTCGTCATAGAAGATGCTGCAGTCATCCATCCCTGCTGGTGGTTGCGCAGGCCTCCCTAAGCCGGGTCCCTGTACCCGCTCATCAATACGGCCCTGAACGGCCGGTACACCGGCATCCGAATGCACTATCACACCACCAGACACCGATTAAGGAGGCAATTAACCAAGTAAATTGAACGAACGAAACCAATGGGATAATCCGATGAGTCACGCAACTATGAACCAACTGAGGTGCAACGGTGAGATAGTTGTGGGCGCGTTGGACTCCTTAACGATCAAAAACCAAATCTGAATGGATGAATGTTTTAAGTATTGTTTTGGACACTGACTACTGGATAAAAACAATTGAAATAATGACAAATTAACGGAAGTTTTCACTCAAGGGCGATCCGTTGAGCGAGCTCGGTTTTACAGAAGGTGTTTTTTGTGTGGAACTGCGTAGATAGCCGTGTCGCGGTGGAGCGAGGGTGGCGCGCGCACTCCGCCGGGGTGCATTGATCGCACCTCCATTGCGCATGTCTCCCCTAAGAATTTCTCGACTGTTTTGACATTTACTTAGCCGGTCTAGGGTCACTTTACAATAAAGCGTCGCCAATGTCGCCATGCATTGCGGGACACTTGACATTATTTCGCAACATTATCACTATTTAGAAAATTCCTATTCCATTATGGATACTGCATAATATATGAGAAATATTCTCCTACATCGGAAACAACGTTGAGAATTTACTCTCACACTTTTTCCAGTACAATATTCATGGTTTCCTTTCATAGAATTGTTGAGAAAGTATGTAGACAATTGCATTTCTTTGAAAATACTCTTGAGAGTAATAATCAAAAGCAACCAACCTTGTAAATTGTAATGTTGAAAAAAGTAAACAGGTAGATTTTTATATCTTCTTTATTATTACTAACTTTATAAGATGCTTTTAAATTGTGTTTGACCTCCATTTATTTGTATAAACATAAAATGTTATGATTCTCTGTTCATCGTACCTACTTTTTGTACCAGGAAAAGTTTTTATGTTTTGTGTTAATTAAAATCAAATCCTGTTTTAATCTGATCAAAATGTATTGGACGTTGTGGGCAGGTGGTTAGTATGAAAGAGTTGAACTGTGAATAAACTGTGCCAAGGCACTCGGGACCTACGGACATTCACTGCGCTAAGCGTCTTCCTCGACGACTATTTTAAATACTGGCAGGGTATCTATTCGATTCTTCCCATATTAAAAGATATAGTATATTTGAATTACAAATAATATATTTTTTATTTTTAGTACAATTCATCTATACATATAATAAAACTGTAGCAGTCGAATGACTATACATAAAAAAATGCTAAAAACCGAGTCAGGGGGATTTAAGAAGAGAAATAGAACAAATTCAGATTTTTTTCAATTTTTTTGTTTTCCTTTCTCTTTGTTTGTTTACACGAGCTAATCTCCGAAACTGTTGAACTGATTTAAATGAAATATTTGCATGGTGGTACCTTATATCTCCGGTCAACATTTTAAATACTTTTCATCCTAGAAAATTAAAGAGTTCCCGTGGGATAGTTAAAAAACTATAGTAACTTATACAGCTTAGTACACAACAACTTATGCACCTAATTTAGTAAAATTTGGCATGCTGATATCTTATATTGCCGGCCAAACAACAGGTTACTTTTGATCCCGGAAAAATAAACGGTTCCTGTGGGTTAGATTTGCTTGTGCTTTTCTAGAGGCGAATCCGAGCGAAGCGAGGGTGAGTTGGTAGTACCTAATAAGATTTATCTTTTTACCTTACGATAGGTAGGTACCTAAATGTAAATATTATAAATACGAGTAAAATAAAATTTCGAATGGAGATTGCTTAGCACCCTGAGTTAACATAGGCTAATGTTTATCCTCGATCTTACTTCACGAGTAGAGCCTCGGGCAAAATCTGATTAAAAAAAATGTCATGTAATAGTTTGAATAAATAAAATTCAAATGGCTCATCCCGTGGTATTTGCAATATATATATATATATATATATATATATAATATATATATATATATATATATAAAAATTCTCGTGTCACAGTTTTCGTGCTTATCCGGTATCTATGAGAATCGGCCAACATCTATTTTTCATCCCCCTAAATGTTAAGGGTAGTCCACCCCTAAATTTTTGTTTTTATTTTTTAGACAAAATTTTTAATTTCTATTTTTTTATGATTCCGCGTTATAAAATACATACAAACCTAAATTTTCACTAGGGACGAACCCGAGCGGAGCGAGGGTGAGTCGCTAGTATATATATATATATAGTACAGAAAACGCATATTGCTAGTATGTTCTCTTGTAATCTATACATATAATAAAATTCTAACCAAGCCGAATCTATATATCGAATATTTTTTGGAAAATCTTATTCAAATAGACATTATTTTATTATTATATTAATTTTTGTCTGTCTGTCTGTTGTCACATCACGAGAAATCTACTGGACAGATTTTGATAAAATTTGGTATGGTGATAGCTGTTTAACCGGGTCTACATATAGTATACTTTTTACCGCGGGAAAATGTCTCATTTCTGAGAAAAAATACAAACAGTGCAATGTAAAAGTATACTAACATGTAAGACCTAAGAATTTGGTTTTTGGTCATCTGAACGCGGGCGGAGCCGCGGGCAATGCTAGTAGTATATAATAAAAACATGTTAGTTATAATACGAGACTACACTTCCAATAAGCTTTTTAAGTATTCGACGTAATCTAATAAGTATCTACTTTATAATTTTAAAAGTGATTATGTAGAAGTACGTAATTTATATCCCTATAAGTTCTTGGAAATTTCTATTTTAGTATAAATAAGCAGAAAAACTACAATCTCAGATTAACCTTTTTTTATTAAGGCTATTTGTTGTACCAGATAGACTCATGACGTTCAGTAAAAAATTGTAACAATTTAATGCTAAATAAAATATTTTGAATTTGAATATAAACTCCGCATAGATCGGCTGATATTAAGAAACAGAATTCATATAGAAAAACCGTTAAACACGTTTGAAACTTTAGCGTCGATGACCCAGGAACTATATGATCATATCAAGTGCCAGAAAGCTCTCACTTTATAAATTCATAACAAAATAAAAATGACTTAATTGGGTATCAATTTTTAAATAACTGTAAAAAGATACACGTTTGTTTAGCATAAAGTCGTAATCTTGATTTTTAATAATATTTACAAGCATAACACTCGCATTATCAAGGTGAGTCATAGTGAGTACGATGAAACATACGATCGAACATACATACAAGTCAAATACATACCTCCTTTGGACTTCGCCGCAGTCAGCTAAAAACGTAAAATTAATGAAATAGTAAAATTCAGTTAGGTTGATTAAAGAAAAATCCGGAAAATGAAGGAGGTGGTGCTAGTATAATATAATAAATTAAGTTAAATATATAGATACATATTCGTAACTAGTTTTGGTCCGCGGTTCCACGCGAACGATATGCTGTGCGGTACATAAAAGATATCCTATTTCCGTCCTCATGTCCTTGTCAAATTTTACCAAAATCTGTTTAGCTGTTTAAGCTCAAAATGGTAACTAACAGACAAAATTACTTTTACACTTATAATATTAATATGGAACTTCATACAATAAACAATTAACGGTAATATATGTCATAAATATTTTCTTTTTCCTTTGCATAGACTACATAGGATAAACATTTTATTTCAATTTCAGAAAGAGTAAAACTGATAGGACTGATGAAATTGTTTTCCTCTGGGAAATTTCAGTTCATATAGTATTCAATCAATAGAGAGACCAGGTGGGAAAAGCAGTGATATGGGAATTCTTTATGTACCTACTTGTCATTTTCTCGAGTCAATGAAAATAAGTATTTTATTTATAACCCTACCTCCATTTTTATCTTAATATACCTAGTTTTCACCAACAACATTAATTACGGACATAATATATTTGTAAGTTACTAGGTCTGGATCACGGTTTCACTTATATACCATAACTATTATAAGTGCACAAGTTTGCATGGATGTTTGTTACTCAATCACGCCAGAACAACTGAACGAATGTGGATGAAATTTGTCACAGAGATAGATTATAGTCTGGAATAGTACATAGGTTACTATTTAACTTGAAAATATGTATAATTCTCGTGTTTCTGCTTTTCACTAGGGAACCCGAGCGAAGAGAGCGTGAGAAGCTGGTTGTTCATATGTAGATAAAATAGAATAATAACTATGGAAAAATGCATATATTATAAAAATATGAATAGGCCTGTTTAGCAGAGTGATTAGCAAGCAAGTTATACAAATCTGTTTCAAAAATACACAAGCAAAAATAGTCAATTCTTTTGTTACTTTATGACAATAAACATATTATTCGAACGGTTCTAATAATATTAGCAGATATAAATAAACATGTAGGTAGGTAAGTACTTAAATGGTCGGTGTGAAACCGATAGGATAATATCTTCCATAAAAGTATGTAATTCTTTGAGACTTTTGTAAGGTTTCAGCAGATATAGACAACCTTGACTGTGTGCAAATTATGCTTCCTTCTTATCATATTTCTTGACTAGCGACTCACCCTCGCTCCGCTCGGGTTCGTCCCTACTTACGTTTTAACGTTTAGTATAGATTTCTCAGAAATTAGATATTTTCCCGCAGTAAGAAGAATCCTATATGTTGACCCATCCGGGTTATCCAACCAGCTATCATCGTACCAAATTTTATCAAAATCTCTCCAGTGGTTTTTCCGTGATGCGGTAACAGACAGACAGACAAACAGACAAAAATTCTAAAAACTATAGATTGGGCCTCTGTATCGATGATAATGTCTATTTCAATAAGATTTTCTAAAAAAATATATAATGTACAGATTCAACTTAGTTAGAATTTTATTATTATGTTTCTTAACGCTTAGCTTGATATGAAATATGCACTCCGTCATTCTGGTATTTTAAAGCGTAAGAGTAGATTTATATTTCATATCACTGTCGAGCTTTTTCACTTTATTTTAAAATCTTAGATTTAAAAAAATATTATGATTCAAAATCAAAAGAAAGAGTCTAGTGAGATAAGAAGATTTTAAAGTGGGCTATTATAATAATTAATTATTTAAAGGAAATTAACGTTGTATATATACATACGCCTACAAAATTTGACGATAAGTACAGGTTTGTAGGAAACAGTTGCTTCTTAAAATTCATGAATTTACAAATTCAACTTGAAAAATAATGTACATACAAGCATTTATCGAACGAACAACGAAGAAAAAATTACCAGATACACCATGCAAAAGTTCTCATAAAACTATCACCAAATATGTTTAGGTAATTATTCTAGTTGAAATAAATATACAACAATGTAAATTAAATCTTAAATGCAATTCTTAAAGTAGATTTCACAAAAAAAGTTTTAAATTAAAAGCACGCTCAAATGACATGAGATAAGAGCTCATTCGGTGACGAAATTTTTTTGTCGCTGATTATGTATCTAATCTAGTACTTTTTTGATCGATGCATACAAAACAAAAAGTATTTGTAAAGCTGACGGAGATAAATTAATTGTTTATTAACATAAGATAAATAATTTCTTATTATAAATATATAATATATTACAA